TAGATGTCAGCTACACTTCAACCAATTCGAAGGAACTGTGCTCGTTTGACGGTTGGTAGGCTGGCCTGCTCAACGGAGGATACTGATGGCACAGGATAGCGCCAAAAGCTCCTTGAATGACCGGACGTGGGGTCATACATAATCATGCGCTCCGGTTGAATTGGGGGCAGATATTGATAGGTCTCTCCTGGCACTAGTTCCTCATTCTCCCCTAAAAATCGGCTGATTGTCACTCCTTCAATTGGCAATGCCATGCAATTGAGAAGACAAACCAGAGCGAGCCAGCTTTGAGCATACCTGAAGTGATTAAAAAAATAATTGGAGGGGAGTAGGAAAAGCTTAGTCAGCTGTCTTTCCTTTTGGAGTGAAGAAGCAGTCCTACTAGTGAATACATTGAGATGATTTGTTTAAGACAGAACTACTCTCCATTGTCAAACCAATCAGTGATAAGGAACGCTTCCCTGCTATTCGTCAAGAAAAAGGCTTTAATCTTTAACTACTTTACTGCACTATTCTCAGAGGAAACTATTCCCCGTTGATTACGTTAGTCTGAGACAAGTGGTTAAAGTGGCTGCCCATGGCCTAAGTCTGCATAACCTCACCAACTAACTTATTTTTTGCTTCTCAGCCTGTTTTTTGCATTTTACGAAAATTCCACCTCATTGGTATATTTCGTTTCCAGTTCTTTTAAAATATCATGATGTCATTTAAAAAGAGGTAAAAGGCAAACTTACAAATGCCAGCTAATCATTATAGCCGGAAGCCGAAAAACTTTAGAAGGAGCGAAAAAAAGACCTTTTTATACTCCAGCTAAGCCCTCCACACTCCCCCACCGATCCCACGGTGCCGGTAATTGCGGTGACAACACTGTCTCACACCAATTTCCGCTCCTACTCCTGCCCCTCTTCCTATCAGCTTCACAAATAACAAAGTAATTTTTATGCCTGGAGTTTAGAAATTTCTTTCCTGATAAATACAGTAAGTAGTTTATTGTCGATAGCTCCCTGGAGGTAATACGGGAATCCTAGGACAGGCTAATTAAATGATTAATTAATTTCGGTGAAAAGTCTTTCAATAATTTAATAAAATATTTTGCAGTCTTTTGTCAGACCTAAAAGTTAAATATCTGAATGTTTAAACGAATTATTTCTCTCGTTTCTAAACACGTTATGGAGTATGAAATAGCTTTTTCGCTTTCCCCCTCTTAGGGGTGTAAAAAGTACACTTCTTATCCCGTCTCCACCTCCCTTGATTTGCTGCTTTAAGAAGAATTCTCCCCTACGCTTGTTGACCTGTACTGATGCTAAAGACCTCTAATTTAAAGCACAACTAAAAGTTGTTATTGAAAATGGGAAAAGATGACAAAACTTGACAAGCAAACACTAAAACCTTGGACGAATTTGGTAGGATAGCTACTTAAAAAAACAGTATGGAAGATGGCAAAATGAATGAATGTGAGTCGATGTGGTACTCTAGATTGTCCTTCTTACCACTCTGCCGCCGTATTGAACCCCCATAAACGAAGGGTTGGGTAAACTTGATGGATTTGGTTGGAGGTTGTCTGCTTTGCGAACCAAATTTAACTGGGGTTCAAAACTGCATGAACCATTTTTGGTTTGTGAGGTAGCGGAACGCGAAGCTCAGAACCGGTTCCATTGGGGTACACAGACAGACCTCCTGATTTTAATCCTGGACATGTTATGCATTGACAGATGACAAGGCAAGGGCACTAGGGATTTCGCCGTGTTTACTAGCTAAGAGACTTCCTTTAAGAAGACTTTTATTTTAAAGCCCTTTAGGCCAACGAAAATGTCATTTGTTGTCCTTAAAACACCAACTACCTCCTTGAACTTTTAGGAATCATAACAATTCAACCCCACAAGGCCGCGCTTGTTTCATGTGGGTGTTTAAGCGACTGCAGGCCAATTTTTCAGCATGCATCTCCTGTTAAAGGCCTAAAAACTTCGTTTGAGATTTATCCACTCTCTACGATACGGATGGAATTTTCCCAAGAAAAGATATTTCCCTTCTAAGGGCTAAACAATGTCGCCTAAGATGTAACATAACTCAATGAGAATCGAAGGTAGGTAAGAAAAATGTTCGCTTTATGAAGAATCAGTGCTAATCAATCAACCTATTTTGAAAAGGAAATTCCAGGTTAATGCCTTACATCGTTGTATAAGTTACCCCCTAAAAAAATTACGCTTTAGTTAGGATGGAAGGAGGGGAAGGAGTACAGTCGCATTCCCACTTTCATTCTCCACATTCGGCTTGGTGTTATTCATCCCATCCGTCATTATTACTAGGCGCCCTCATGGTAGGTAGAAAAGAGTTAGGAAATAAAAAGGTAATAGACGGAAATACAAATGGCCAAAGGTAGGATTTTTCTGGCTCCTGAGGGCAAAACGTTTCTTATAACTAACATTCGTCGCCTTGTGCCTTATTTAGAAGGGTGGTTATTCCAATGAGTAGTCCAAGTACCTTTTAGTACTTGTCAAGAATGGCCTCACAAGCACACAAGTTCCTCCCCATTGGTCCTTTTGCAAGCATGGAGAGATTCCCTTTTAGGGTTTGTTACAGCGAATGATCTCACCCTTTTTTCGTCTTGTTTGTGATTGGCAGGGTAATTATTAAATTTTATAGAGGTTTTAGAGTATGCAATTGTTTACAGCGGACCATTAAGCCTAAAGATGGTAAAATTTCATAGCCTTTAGCTTTCGCCCCTTCGTTCTGTTTAAAAAAGACGAATTTACCAAAGGGCGTCATTTTTAAGTCATAACATTCAGTATTAATGCGAAACGAGAGAAACTTAATGACCTTGTCTTCTTTAAGTAGATGCTTTACCTGCTGCCTCCTAACACGCGCTTAGTCAAAGTGGATTGCGCAGGTGGCCAACTATAACTAAACAGACAAATGTTCACCTGTTAAAATGGGTTAAGCTTTAGAGCGTGGGATCCTTAAAAGACGGGTGATAAAATTGCCGTCTCACTTTATGTAGCCATTACCAGCTGTTTCACACAGAAGAGAAGACCATAAATAACTACTTGATTTCAGAACCCCTCTCCTTTTCCCAAAAAAGCACTGAAAAGTCCACAGCCATTAATTTACAAATAAATTTTTGTTTCTTTGCAATTGCCACCCAAGCAGGAGTATAAATATTTAGGAACTCTCCAGAAATGGCAGACAAATGTGACAGTTTAAGTGAATTTACGGTAAATACCCGAGTTTAGGCCCTATCCAAAGAAAGGATCATGCGTGACTGGTCAGAGTAAATTTTCTACCCTGGCTTGTTGACCGAATGTAACGATTACGACAGCAATGGGTAAATATTTGGGAAATATTGGGTGAACTTTATTGGGGAGTTTTTGAGGGAAATTTAGCAAAAATAGTGGTAAACTAAACAATTCGTTGCAGGTATCGTTTTAGCTCGCTATGTTGACTTATGGTAATTTGGTGGTCCTTGTAGACTGTCATTAGGTGTTGGTAGCATAAAACATTATCTTTACAGCGCTCTTTGTTTTGATCTGTACCACTTTGTGCCTATATTGAACCACCAAATCACAGGATTTGATCCTCACGAACCTGGGGAACATACTCGTCAACTTTAATGTGTTGCAATTAGAGGAGGCATCGTATGGCGTAGTAGAACGCATTGCCTAAATATGCGGTATACCTCTTTTTCAATCTGAAAAGGAACAAACGAAAAGCTGATGGGCCATGTCCATAAATAGACTCCCTTTTGCACTCAAGTACAGAAAGTTGTTTCATGTTTCCTTTCGCGTTTTCGTGTTTCATGCTTTCCTTTCGGCGGAATCAATGTTTCTTACATGCACTAGTAGACCACAATACGCTTCAATAAATACTAATATTTTATTTCCTCCTCCCTTTAAGCAAAAACGCTCCACTTCTACATATTGTACTGACCTGTGATGGGGAATGGAATTGACCACTTTCTTAAGCTTCTCAATCACCTAAATATTTTTGGGTATGCACATGCAGGGAGACGCAAAACCAGCCTAATTTTCACTCAAACAAATGACTAAACTATTATAATTAAGCTATCGAATGCTAAACTGTAAATGCAGGATTTTTCATATCTATTATGATGGAGTGCTTTCCCCATCCCCCTCTCACATTGAGTCATTACTATTTCATCCCATCAGTAGAGGCTCTACCTGTTCCCCCATTTATAAAATGAAGACTTTTTCTGCTTTCACTAAAGTAACAAAGGAATTTGTATTTTTAAGCTCCCCCACCCCACAAACCCATTGCGGAGAGGGCTTATTCCCACGCAAATATTTAATGATCGTGCCTCACAGCGGAGCATTTGAGAGCCTCCGGCATTTACCCAAACCCATTAAATCCGGTTCACCATGGGACTGCAGTTTACCTCTTAGATAAAGGGATAAATAAATTGTTAATTAGTTCGCCCAATTCGCTATTGTTGTCTTTCTTTGAACTCCCAAGCTGGAGGTAAACTAGGTCTCCTTCAGACAAAGTGTGACGGTGTGAATAGTGCAATGGAGGTTTTTGGATAGGATTTTAAATCCTGAAAATATATTTTATAATAAAAAGAAGTCTACATGAATTTTATTATAGTCTTAAGTGATTTGAGAGCGCTAGTCAAACTATTTCAATTATTTTCTGACTCTCTACCCTCTTTCGCATGTTATCATGTCTCTTCATCGCAAATATCATGAAGCGGTGAAGAGAGAGGTATGGAGGTTGAGGCTGTTTGTCCCTCTAATCTTAAAGACGAAGCATTCGAGGGGAGAAGATTGGTCGAAGTCCTTCATCACATGATAGACTGCGCCGATTACCGAGGACTGCAATGTTCCACCCCCTGCGTGTTTACGAGACTGACGGCTGTGAAATCATCACCAACATACAAACGTGCGGTCGGATGCCTTCGAAACATTGCTATCTTCAAATGTCTTACATGTTAGTGATTAGGTTCTCAACCTCCGTATTTTACATTACTGTCCCCTCTGAATTTGTCTACCTGTGAGAACAGACATCCTCAAGTTTAACATCTTTGTTGGTACACCACTTTGTTTACCACTCAACTGGGATCTGAGCCCAATCTAGACGACCTACGTATGTGCTCCACATATAGGCACCTTGAAGGACACACTTAACACTCATTTTTGCGTGTGGTATCCTCACAGTGGCCTCCCTTTTCTTGCATGGCAAATTTAGAATTTGTCTGACCTAAACGTCTCCTGCGCAAATTCAAAGTGCCATTGATTGTAAAATCTTTCCAGGAAATGGGTTCAAGCATAATAAATCATAATAGACTACTCCGCTTTTGACCACCGCATCTGAAACCTGGGAAATCTATTCACAGGATAAAGTGATGTCCAGCAAAAATGCCTTCTTTTAAAGATCATAAACAAATACTTGCAACGGGATAAAAGTGGATGCGAAAAATATCCCCTGATGGAGGCAAAAGTTATGCACAGTTTATAATGGTACACCATAACAATTAAGATCAGCTTAAAGTTTTTGGGGCTTTTACCTCGTCAGTAGGAAGAGATCCGTTCCAGATAAGTAGTTTGTGACAAGGAATAGTCACTAACGAAACCAAGTAACTTCAATCATAATTTCACAGGAAGAAAAATAATTCTCATTAGGATATGCTGACACCCAAACGCCTCATTTAACTCTCCCCTAAAAATTGTGACAAAGTAACGTTATTTTGCCGGAATGGTTTTAGCAATTAAATTTGTATCAAGCCTTTTGTTTAGCAATCGGCCCAGTCTATTGTGGTATGCCTAGAATGCGACTTGTCGTCTGCCATTGTGGAGCTTAAGTAAAGTCTTATCTCAGAAAATCACCTATTCCAAGTTTTGCATTAGAACAATTATCTTTGTCAACATGAAACTACAATTCATTCATTCACTAAGAAAGAAAGAAAACATTTTAGCAATATCAAGGCTCGATTCAGGGTCGAGATTGGATTGTATTCTCCAGCTAACTTCGCAAATTCTACCCTAAAGAATAAGTCGCCACTGAAATGCAGCTATTGTTAATGTTTCACGCAGTAGGACGGGAAAAAATGCATCTTGCATAAATTTGAAAGCTGGGTACTATTGTAGCACCCCGGTCTCTGCTGAAGTCGTAAAGAATTACACCAGTTCGCAGGAGGATTTATCACTGACATGTGGGAGAACAGAAGCTCTGCAGGCATCCGGAAGGCCACTCCGCAAGATAGAAGCATAAAACGTGCAGACTGAAGCTTCCCCATTGGCTAAATGTACAGTACGATAAACAACAGGCCACCACCCCCTCTATTCAGACATGGGTATCCACACAACATTAAAGTGTGCTATTCTCACGGGTCGCTTTTATTCTGGCCGTCTTATCATGTCTGCCATCTGGGGTTACCATGGCAATGGGGGAATGTTTCATAGACTTGTCCATGGTTTACTTCTGGAGGCTGAGTTTTGTGGCATGTGGTATGAGGCCCAGGATCTAGCGCTGTGTTGTTTGGAGAACAGCACTTTCTTACGACTGGTTGAACTTCTAAAGCAGACATTACTCTAACACTCCTTTGAGTTGTATCAAGTCTAGGAGGCTGCACGAAGTTGTTAGCCGGTTTGGGTCCTAAATTTCCAACCTCATGTTCGGTTCTACCCGATATTATCTACTCATCGGCATGAGTAGAAAAATTCAGGCGGTGACAAAACAAAATCAAAATATGCGTTTTATTAGCTATTTCCGGCTTCCGTAAGATTTTGATGGGTCTACCCCTACTTGGGCACGGATAATTCCATCAGGACGAAATACCTACAAGTTAGCTCCACCTCCTCAACTCAAAGGCAAGCAAGAAAATCTCCTACTTTAGAAGCGCCAAGGGCATGGACGAGTCAATCATTCGGAAGAAAGTGCTTTTTGAAAGATGACACAATGCAGCTTCTTGCAAACTCCTTCTACTGTCGCACTTGGGCCTGCGATGGAGTGGCAAACACTTCCTCACCCTCATTGTCCTCCTCTATTTTGTCAATTAGCTACCATAGTTAAGCAGACATGGACGTGGCTAAAGTGTTTTTTCCTGATTCCAAGATAAAAAAACCGTCTTCGATGGCATTGATTAAAATACGCCTCCTCCTGACCGAAGGAGTGATAAATTGATCCATGAGAGAACGAACCAAAGAGTAGATAGATAAATGACTGAAGGTTGACACGTGTCACCAGACTAACGAGGGGATGAATCGGTAGCCTCTCTTTAACCATCTTTTGGCTGACGATTGCGGGTTAGCCACAACTAATAGCCAAATTATGTAAGACGCGTACTCAGCACAACTCACCAACCCGGCTTGACAAATTACAGTTCCATCGAGGAGAAAGGTTCAGAACCTAATGGCTGGTATCATGTTTTCCCTCCCTTTTTTTTCTCCCTCTCTAATGGCACTGATATTTGGGCCAAAACATCACCCTATCACACTTGGGATCTGGCGCCACAATGGACAAACAGGGAGGAAGAGGAGGTGAGAGGGGTCGCGGAGCAGGTAGGAGTTCCCTCTGCTCCGCCTAACGTGAACATCACTTGTTTTAATGCACTCACTCGTCAATTGGTGCAGAACTGACGACGACTAATGCAGTCCTCATGCCACTTGAGGCGTGCTGTTGACAGAATGGAATGCGCCACTTTGATTTGACAGAAAGGCAGACAGAAACAAAAAGTCTGAAGTGGATGCATGGGCTCAATCGCCTCTGGATAATTGACACAAGCGCATCACTCAATAATTCGACCTTGTTCCAACCTGACAAGTACGTGCTATCCACCTCTGCCATCCTTGGCATTATGCCAAAGAGCTTCTGGTATGTATTTCCACAACAAAACATCTGAATGGCGCATCTCAATGAGGTCCAGCACTGAGGCCTCACTGAGTTGCATGACCTCCGCGTTATTGGGTGATTAAGATCTCACGAGATGGTAGCCTTGGAATCTACTTGCTAAAGATATAAGTAGCCTCCCAAAAGGACTAAGTCCGATATCAAGTACCAATCGCTTTTTGTGGGTCAGGAGCCTAAAAGTCAAACCACTTTATTGATGTCCTGTTCGACTTTCAAGTCTTCTTTAGCTTCAGATTCATTTGGATCCTGCCTTCCTCTGATCCAGCAAAAGTTCGTACCCTGATTGGTTGATAAGCCGCGACTGTGGTAACTACCGGTTCACAACGTATCAGTCATTCCGATTTGAAAGGGCTTATTCTGGAAGTCCAAACAATGCATAACCTGTCGCAAAATCATACAAGAAATAAATAATTGGGTATTGGTGATAAATAAAGCCATTGCCGTTGCCGACAAGCATAGAAAAGTTGACTATTGCTAGGAGTTTAAGGGATGTTTTGACAAAGAAGGCTGAAATCCTAAGGTTAGATCTTGCTCCCAGTGATTTCGGTTTGTTTAGCTTCCCGAAAAAGTACTTCGAAGTGAAGTAAAGGTGTGAGAATCCAGGATCACCCCCCGGAGAATTACAAAACGCAAACCTGATGGTACAAAAACTTCATCATTGCTCATCAATGCAGAAGAGTTGCCCTCGCGATGACCACAGTGTGTCTATACACGGTGAAGGTAAGGGTTGAGCATGCAGGTCAAAAGGTCAACAGCATAATGGAGGGAGGAGGGAGAAGAGGTGTGCAAAGTAGATTTCACATCTTAGTTGCGTTTGGCATCAAGAAGGTGATGTAGCTAAGCTCTGAGATGCGTGAGCATGTCGACATTTTAGTCTGATGGTCGTGGAATTGCTGAAATAAGACGGAAAAAGAGAACCCAAGTAGAAAAAACGTTCTTTATACTCGCTATTCTCCAAGTGCAGGTTTGGTAGAGGTTATTTAAGGGGCAAATCTGAATTGGGTCGGGGTCGTCTGGAATCTTGCCCGGCAAAGCTGAGGCGACAGGTCAGCGAGAGCGCAATGAAAAAGGGTTGAAATCCGCAATCCCTGGCGCAGTGCTAGGTGATGAAAAAAATCGCGCGGTTTTTGCTGTGACCCATTGCAATGACTTGTTGACTGGTAGGAACCTGTAAAATGTGATTATTTATGCGCACCCCAGTCTGTCTGGACAATATTCATTGTCGTGTGTTCCACAAATTTCTTCCTATTTCTAACGTCGGTTGAACATGATTGATTTGTCCGCCTTCTTCCTGAACCTTCCTCGCTTCGGCAATATATTTTCTGCCCTAGTATTACGACTTCTTTCGCCTTTAGGAGAGACTCAAGTCGCAACATTGGTGCTAGTGGCAAGCGAATTCGATCTTCAAGGACGACACCTCCTCCACTTCTCTACTAGCTAGATAGAACTCCGATAGATAGATGAATAGGCAGGACTGAAGTAAGAATAAAGTGGCAAGGAGGAAGAGACGCGAAACTTTACCCTCACGAAACCATTTCAATCCCTATTCCTAATTAAATAACTGCTTTTAGGCCAATGTTCTTACGACTAGCGATGGATGGCCGGCACATTCCCCCTTCCCCCAGTATAGTTTCCAAATAGGACAAAACTCTAGATGCGGTGGAAATGTCAAGTATGAGCAATGTCGCTGCGGCCAAATACCACCTCAGTTGCAAGCACATTCGATGCCTGGCGCGGGTGACTCGTGAGTGTTTCTCCTTACAGCACCGCAGAAGATTTGGACTTGGAAATGGAATGGAAAGTATGCATTACCCCATCCGCCACCTTCACATTCTCCGCCAGTTCCTCAGAGGGACCGACACCACTTTTTGACTCCTGACAATCACTCTTGAAGTAGAGAGTTGAAAAACGGAGGTTATTAAGGCCATTCGTAGCTTTACAGTAGGTCGGTATTATCGCACCGAGAACGAAGGATGGATTTTAACGATGGTAATTTTAGTGGGTAAAATATTTTACGAAGCTTCCCCTCTTAATTAGGTTCTTTTCTCACCATCTCAAAAACTAATTCTCTCCCTTTTCACTAATGGTGTTATCACTTAGGGAAGATGGAATTGAAATACAAGCACCGCTGCAACACACCCAGTTGCTACCTCACATACACTCGGATAAATGGAGTTACTAAATTGCCCCTATTAGGCAGAGGCAACGATTCCCCTCTAAATGCGTAAGAAGTGTAGAAGATCGTACATGCCAGAATAATTTCCCACACTCGGAGGGTGATATAATAGATGGGTGGACAGATGTAGGACGGGTCTTCATAATTACCTGTAACAAAATGCAGCCCTATCTTAGAGCGATTTACAATCGGCGCATATTAATCATGTACCTTGAAATTACCACTTTGGAAGTGGTAAAAAGAGGGGAAAAAGAGGGAGAGGGGAAGGATGGGGAGGTGGGAGCAATAACAGACATAAGAGAGAAATTTGGATGTAAATGTCTTACTTTGTGGTGACATCATTTACTAATTAAGCAGCCAATCAACCAGTCGGCGAAACTAAAGCTAAACAAAGAATTTCGCAAGATTCGCAAAATTTGAAGAGATTTACTGGGTAATGAGCGGGGGGAGGAGAAAAACTTACGAATGGGTTAAAACTGACTCTTCTTCAGCAGAGTGTACCTGTGTGTGAAGGGAAAGGAGAATTGGGAAAAAACTTTACATTTCTTCTACTCAAGTACCATTTACAATAAAGTGGAGGCTAAATTCGCTTTTTAGTATTCTCTGAGGCAGCTTGTTTATGTGCAAGCCTCAAGAGATCGCACATCAACCGGAGGAGTTGAATGGCATGCCGAATTGAACAGTACTGACTTCTATAGAGTTACAAACGTTCAGAAGTCTGCAGCCATGTCTACTCTACAACAAAGGGCTAAATGTCAGTTGGAGGTACACTGACAAAAAAGTCTCACTTTTATTAGCATCAAGGCATCACCGATCAATTTCGCTGCCAGTGTCAAAATCCAACCCTATCACTACTCACATAAAGTCTGTAAACGCACATTCAAAGTGAATCTTGTGGCTGGAGACACAAGGACTAAGAAGAGCCTCAAACGTCTCAGCAGCTTGGCCAACTCATCATTAAATACAGCATTATAAATCGGCGCTTCAAACAAAATTACTACTGACCAAGTAAATAAGTACGAAGTCCACTTCTTCCTAAAGTGGATAGTCATTTGCTAAAATTGACCAACTCCAATTTCAAAATACAAAATTTGTCAAGTAAAAATATGGAGCTGTCTTCACTTACCGAATGCCGGCATTAAAGCAGGAGAAAGTACTCTACTTTTTAACACAGGAGTAACCAAAAGACTTGCATATTTAAACCAAATTAAGGAAAAGCAGATTAATAGCTTGACTACTTCCAGAAGGCCTATTTATTTAAACTCAGAGTTCGGGAGTAGATAAAGGCACGAAAGGGGTAACCTCAGTGCATCGCCCAACGAGTTAGCAGTTCTAATTATCCAGTTCAGACGACTCCTTCATCACGGAGTGTCGAGACTTACCCACCACCAGGAAGAGAAAAGGATTGCTAATATTAATAGACGATCAAACCATAAACTAATGATATACATAAGAAAATGGTGATTGGAAAACCTCTATCAGGCAAAATTGCTACTTATAAGTAATCAGTAGACTTACCGAGTACTTCCGCTTAACAGCGTCTGAAGAAGCCCGCGTATCACCAACAGCAGCGGCCGGTACACCGTCGCCAGGGGCTGAGTCATTTAGTCGCTGGTTGGCAAATTTATTCGTACCGATGGCGGAGACACCAGAGGTCGAGTGGGAGAATAAAGCCGAGGGCCGAGCGCTATGCGCCCGCTTCGCCAAATACCGATGTGTCTCCCAAGCCGAGAGCGAACGCAGCGGCGCATAGGCGAGTGCGGATAGCAGGAACACCAGTCCACAAGTGTAGTACGCCCAACTTAATGGGTTATTTTCTGACCCTGTTAATAGAATTTGTGGTTCGTGTAGAAGTCGTGCACCGATTTGAATGCCTGAAGCCACCTCTGCGATCAGACCTGAGAAAGATGGGTTAAAACAATTCTACTTAATTAAAACAAGTGTGCAAACAGCCTGGTAATAGGACTCACCCACTGTTAGAGGACCGGCGATGGCTCCAGCCCCTTGAAAGACAAGAAGATAGACGAATGCTGGCGTTAGATGATGTACACCAATTAGTTCCACCGCGACAGCACTTCGGAGAGATAAGGCGAGAGCTAGGAAACAAAACGATTAAAAGGAGATTACACGAAAGCCTTGGTCCAAACTCTTCACAACTCACTGAACTGAAACACATACCACTGGCAAGAGTGTGAAGGAAGACTAGCATGAGGAGGATACCACAAAAGAGCACACACGAGGAGGAGAGAGGATGATGAGGCGATCCTGCTCCCCATGTGGTGAGGGGGATGCAGAGAAGACTAGCACCACCCACCACTAGAGATACAATATTTAGGACCATTGGATCCGCCAGTCGATGTAGCAATGAGTGTAGATACCGTCGTAGAAGGCGTAAAAGTCCACTATCCTCTTCATTGTCTTCGTCGTTGTCGTCGCAACGCTGAAGATGACTGGATCCACTCACGATATGCTCGATGTAAAAGGCTGTGAAAGTGCAATTCGCAGTACAAGTATTTGACATTTAGGCTTCTTGTCTAATGACATTCAAATGGGCCAAATCCCATCGAGGAAACCAACTCAAGTCTCTCCCACCCGATAAAACTAGACCGGAAATGCTGAAAACCACATTTCAGTTTTTAACTTTTGTAAATGAGGGGTGTCTCCGGCTACTTTTCTGTGAGAAAAGAGATCCCTATGCGTCATTTTGCTTTTTTCTCCACCCATAGGGGTTGTTTTAACCGACAGACCAAGAGAAGTTCAGTATCCCTACCTATTCGTCCCATTGAGGAAAAATTCCACTTCTCTAGACTACCTTATGGTCATATTCTGGTGGCAGAAGAGTACCAATATCATTGTGCCTTGGGCAAGAATGGGCAGCGAAATCGCATTGGATAGACTTCCCTTCATGAGGTCTAAAAATCGCTCATACCTGCCTGTCTGCAACTTTCTGTCCACCCGCCTCCATTTGTCCAACTTTCAGTCTGTTCATAGGTACGCCCAACTGTCAGCCTGTCTGCCCTATGGATCTTTCTGTCCCTGTCTCCCTCCTCCTTCCCCCCCTCTTGGCCTAGCCATTCGCCTACATGTTATGTATCCACTGTCTTCTGTCCGCCTGTTCGTCCATCCTCTCAACCTGTCCACCTTTCCGTCTGTCCGACTCGCCTTCTCCGCCTACACCTACCCCTGCCTTTTGCTTGTCTACTTCTCTCATTCCACTGGTCAGTCTGCCCCTATCTTCGCCTGTATACTTGACTATCAATTAGTCAGTATGTCAATTCACCTCTTCATCCGTATCGACTCTCGTGGAGTGGTCCATTTGGCCGTCTGGCCACTCTATCTACCATCAAGTACCCCTTCTCTCCGCTTCTCTTGCCTGTCTCCTCCTTCTGTCCACTTATCCACCTAATGGTATCATCTAACCACGAAACTACGCAACAAAACAGCCCCAACGTGTCTCTCCATCTGTGTACTGGTCTATTTGTCGTTGCTTTTCGTCTGTCTTACCATCACCTCTTTGTTTCTCTACCTGCCCACCTATCTGCCTTTTTCATCTACCTACCCCTTAATTATTTGCCTCCCCCACCCCCTATCTGACCTCCCTCTTTCCCGCCTTTGTCAACACCTGACTATTATTTCCTCCACCCCTCTACCTCCTCTCTCGCCGCGTTCCTCTGAACGCCGGTTCGCTTGCCTATCAATTTATCCACCCTCGGCTAGTTTGTCAGATTGCCTGCTTGCCATCTGGCAACCACTAGCATCCACCATTCTAAGATTGGCAATGCTGGCAGTCAAGATGACGTCTAACGTCTACACCTCAAGCTATCCTCTATTTATCAGCATTCATTCATCCGTTTGTTTTATCTGCATAACCATCCACCGACCCACCCAGTACAAAAAACCCAAAAAACCAACACCGATGGTGGAAGCGATGCCTACTGTGTATCTACCACTGCACATCAATCTGGCCACCTTTTCAGCTGCCTGTCTGACGACTAGCCCAACCGCCACTTATCCATTTATCTGCCTTTCTGGTTTTCTGTCTGTCTCTCAACGTCTTCCTGTAAGCCTAAATGACTGCGCATTTGCTCCCCATTCCACCTCTTTGTTGCCTGTCTGCCAGCCTCCTTGCCTACTATTCCACCTTTCTGCCCGTATGTACCTATCACCTAGACGTTTATCTACCACCTCCCTGTGTCACCGTCACTTCATTCTTTTCCCCGTCTATCAACAAAACTATTTCCACTCAAAACTCACTAGCGATGAGTCGTCCAAGAAGATGGGCAATCCCGACAGTACAGATGACGCTTTTCACGGTTGCCAACTGTTCCGGTACTCGGAACACGGAACCAGAGTGAACACACCGAATTGACTGGCCACAGACGAGAGTTCGACCCTCCAGCGAAACAAACAGTGGGAGCATGTGATACGGCACAAAGAGTGCTAAAAAAGGGAAATACAAGAAAGTCAAAGTAATTACAAAGACAAAGTCGAGAGAAAAACTCCTCCAGAAGTTGTCGGGACTGGTCAATCACATGGAAGGTGATGTTTTTACAAGAGGACACTTGTGAGATAGCAATTTTAGCTAAGGAAAGCGGAGGAGAGATGACTCCGTCTCTCACATTCTCCTTCTTCCCATACTCTCGATGAAATATCGCCAAGTTCCAAGTAATAACTATCACCTTTCACTGTCAATGGTATTTGACGTTCACACGGTCATATGCAAAGTAGACTGTAGACAGCTTTGACAGCTAGAAACGGGTATTGCTAACAGTTGGGCTTTTTCTGACGTAGCAAGCTTACATTCCGTTGGAGTAGGCTTGTCGATTGTAAGAGAGATTATTTCGGTGACTAAAAACACCTTTAATCTGTCTGGTTCCTCCCCACCAGGACCTTTTCTCGCGTAACTAGTGGTTGGGATTTCAATAAGGTGGGATACAAACCCAACCATCTACTATCTGGTTCACGGATGAGCGAGTGGTTGTCTACTGCCAACACCAGCCTGGGGACGAGGCAACTCATGTGCAAATCTCGCGGCTAAAAGAACGTAAAGTCTTGCGTTATGATTCCCTTCCCACCGACTGATTAACCGATCCAAGCCACGGATACCCGTGAAGCAGTTTTCCTCCACGATACTTTGTTCTTCAGGGAGTGAACAATTCCATCTGCAATCCACCACCCTACACAGGGCAGGCCTAGTCATGTGGAAGTGAGGTAATGCCTATCCCAGAAGTAGAGGGAATAACGAACACTGGAACACGGATGCCATTTGTAACCACAAGCCAATTAGTCAATCAGTCAGTAAACAGTTCAAGCTGCCTATCATCTGTTAATGAGTGACAGATGATGGGTGGAAACTCATTCTCGTTTTATCACGAGGTGCTTCAATCAAGGGAACCATATTTTGGTAAAGAATGGCGGGTCTTCCTAAGCTTGATGCAACCTATCTTTAAATGAGCTTGTAGAGGTATTAATCAGCTCACCAAACATGTGCAGAGTGCAGGCCAGTGAAAAGAGGAGAAAGGAGGGACTACGAAGCAATGGGAGGTCGAGAGTGTCGCTGAGACATGTTAGCAGTACTTCACGATCCTCCGCAGCATCCACGGTGCCAGGTGAATGCACACCTCGGAAGGAGGAAGGTGGAGTGCTGAGATTATGGCCTACCGTTGGCTCCATGCATCCGCTCTCCAGACTACCGTAAGGACCCTGTTGAGCTAGATCGCCTGTTTCGGTCTATAACGAAAAGATAAGACAAACGGGACTTATACGGGGTGATCCAAGACGAATCGCAAGGGTTCACAAAGTGGTAACGTATGTGATTTATTAAAGCAAGCGAGTGGGGGCTCACTTTACTGAGATGACCTTGATGATCCTGTGGCGTTGAGGTCAGATGTCCAATGCGTCTCAGCTCACGATAGATAGCAGCACGAATGCGTGCTTTCACCGTGGAATCGAGATGAACGCGCGAGAGTTCAGAGGTGATGGCTCGGTCGGTCTTTGGATCAATACTGGTACCGGAACTACCGGCACCGCCAACACCACCGTTGCCACCAGCACCACCACTAGAGGATCTCGAGATAGAAAGTGAAAATGGACTCAACCGGAAACAATCTTCATCTGCCCGTCCTCGACAGCCGACTTCTACGTCCAACGCGTCCATGGAACCCGCCTGAAATAGTAGGCTTGAGTTGATTATCTCTACACACTTGTGCGTAGATATCGAGTGACACCCTTGCTTCACAATTCTAGGTTATAGCGCTTTCAGCAGTGACTCAGATGGAACACTAATGGCGGCACGGAAGGAGTTTTTTCAGTGACGGGTATTGCTGACAATTCTGAGACGACTTACGCTCATTGAAATGGATCGACTGCTTACCAGAGGAGGCATTTACCGTGGCAGCAGAAGAGCTATTCAGACCACATTGAATTATGTCGGTTCTTCTCAAGTGACGAGGCGAGACTCGAAATGAATGGGTCCGAAAGAGGCCTGGACACTGCCAAGATGGCAACGAAGCGAAATGAGGGGAAAGACGTAAGAATAAAACTACCCCGTGTTTTCTGACGATAGGTTAACACCATCGACATGCACTGGATGGAGAGGAGAGTTTTCTCGCTGTGACGTAAAGGCATCGTATACTCCTCTTCTCTACCTCCAGTTTGACGCCACCTCAACCACATTCCTTTATAATAGCCCAAGGATAAAAGTAGACGCAAGAAAGACTTGGAGCAACGCCCAAAGCAAGAGAGGAATTATCATACAGCAGACCTTTTATGGTTGTAATTATGCACACTTTCTTAGGCCACTGAGATCCGGTCTTCACATAGCTAGTCATGGCGCTCCGTCGCTGGCACCTCAGCCCTTCCAAAGACTTGTCAGATACCTACTTCCTTGCCTATGCCATTATCAGCCCCCTCAAGGGCGCTACAGTACACCTGGGTGGCGTCAAACGGAAACACCAAATAGCCTACTCCACAGAAGTTATTCGGTTTGTAGCTGTCCCGATGGCAGTGCGAGTCAGTATCGTAGCGGAAGTCGATAGGTAGTTGTTGTACCCACTAGACAAATGATATTGCGGACCGCAGAAAAACTCGATTAATACCTCTGCGTAACGTGTAATCGGAGTGAACCAGATGGCCCTGAGCATGCGAGGCAACTGCCGCCTTCAGAATGCCCCCCCCCCACCTCCTTTTGGACATCCATCACTAATTTGGAAACAACTTCAATCGGAAGGATAGCCTACCTTGCCCGAGTCATCAGAGATGCACAGAGTCGGGATATTGCTGTTATCCAACGTGGAGTGATAGAGTGAGTTCCCTGTTCCTACAGTAGTAGTCGTTGTTGTCACCTTCGTAGTACTGGAGAGAGCTCTTGAGCGACCACAAGGATGGAGAGTCGTTCTTCCACCCCTCACAACATCCGCATCTATGGTGCCTTGCAGACCGAGTGGCCAGCGTCGAAAGACGTTGGTCATATCGGGACATCGCATGCCCGGAGCAATCACCGCTTGAGCCTCGAGTTTTTGGAGAATCGCGTCAGCAATGCGGAGCACTCCCGACTTGCTGAAGTCGCATGGTGGACTGAGGAGAATCACTGGTCGTGGAGTTTGAGGCTTCAAGTGTTCAAAAGGCGGTAAAAGTGAATCCCTTCAATCACTATCATACAAGAAAACAAAGTGAACAAAGTGAAATCCATGCGAGTTGACTTCAGTGGAAAAAGTTACATTTTATCTCTTCATAAAAAGTGTTGATTACAACGCCTTTTACCGAAGGTGAGGGGAAAAAACTCCATTTAAATTACATTAAGACGGAGATAACAAAAGTCCTCTTTCTGTCTCGGATAAGTGTCCAAGGGACGGAATAACCCTACCACCTGACGCGACACAAGAATGTCACTTCCATAAAATCCGTTGGCTGATGGAAGGCCTAGCCAGCTACACTTTGTTTCTACTACAGGCTCGTTGGTCAAATGTCAACTGTCTGACTGAGGTCGATAAATAGGGGGAGGGCGCGGAGCCATAAATATATCCCCATGGCCAAGTTTTGTAGCACGTGGTATGAGGTGGTGCGCTATCTCCCCTCCTACTGGTTGATGAGTTCAATATCTGGCTCCATCTGAAGGGGAAGAAGAAGAGGTCCTCGAGTTTCATCGCATTAAATGAGTGGATTTCAGTTGTCTCCTGTTCACTACCACACGGGGGCAATGCATAGTTTCCTGAAAATGAAGTAGTACTTTCCTTGTTGCAGTAAGACGCACCTCACCGCCTCAATCCATAAGTGAACGACATCGAACTCCCACTGGAGCCGTTGAGACAGACCACTTTGACCCGTCGGTGACTGCACGTAGTATTAAGAACGCGCCAATATCTGCTGATTTGACTATTATAACTGGAAATGGATGACAATCACCTGAAAAGCATACATAGCCATTTCACGAACTGATTGAAATTTTACTGAGCTGTCTTTTGTCCGATCCTCTAAAACCGAAAACTTTTTAAAAGGCATATCAAGAATCGAAAATTTAGCATCGAAACATTCCGAGGTAATTTCTGATACGAAAGCATACTTCCCGAGGCACCTTTAATCATGTCCAACACTTCATTTAAGTGGAGACTACAACAATATATGCTACTGGTCTCAATAAGCAGTATTTTTCACTTCAATAATGCGTTTTAAGCAGAAAACGCACCAGAGAGCAACTCATCTCCCCAACCGTTGTAGATGATTGACCCAATGACCTATCCAAGGCGCTGAAACAACGCGCCTGCGGTGGCGATGATGGTTGCGACTGCTGTCCACTGATGCCGTACCTCGGTGCCCTAGCGACAGTCTCGTCCGTCTGTCCCGCAGTTACTGCTGCCATCGCCACTGCTTTCACCAGTTGGTAGTCCGCTTCGGTACGCAGAGAGATAAGCTCGTTGTCTCGAGTGATCACCATGCCGTCTAGGCTGCCAGTTGAGGTGCTGCGCTGTCGGAACTTCTCTTCCAGAATGCGGCTCATTATCCCACCGCCTACGCTGTAGAAGACATTTATTTACGTTTCAGGAGCGTTAAAAGCCAGCCCCAAGGGGATATTAACAATCCTAGGTATCATGCCTAGACGTTACAGAGGGAGAGCGCTTGCCGTAAATAGGCGACGCTTTGGAGGCCCACAGCAGAGAGGCTATCGAAGACAAGTTGTACTGGTGTGGCCATAAGGCATACTATTTTGCTTCCGCAATTTCTTGATGCCCCGCCGACCCTTGCATGTCTTATTTAATAAGGGCTTTCCCAAACTGATATATGCCCTACCACGTCGGCTAATATGAGTGGGACGATAAAGTGGCAAAGGTAGAGGAAAAGTAATCGCCTACCGTGAGGTGACATTCCTTTGCTGATTTTGTGCCCGGCCGGCGACTTGTCGGAGCCTTTCGTGCCGAATGGCAGCTGCAATTCGTTCGCGTTCTAGTCGGCGACGACGTTCCACAGCACGACGTCGGGACTTTTCTAGGTCTATCACCTGTTGCACTTCAACTGGACGGAATAGTGCGATTGCTAACTAGAATGGAGATCAAAAAGTTATTGGGAAGGTGTTGAAATTATCTTTTGCATAATCCAAACTGATATTTAACTATGCAGCCTCTTCAGCCTCTAGGATAGGCTGAACAATAATTCGTGCCTACAGCCTTCAAGCCCTCCTGCTGATACGCCTTACCATGCCTGGTGACTCTGAGCACCGCAATGCCGAGACTAGAGGTTAAAGAGGGTGACAACCAGAAACATTCTTCTGATGTAATCAAAAAGTGTCAGAACTGCCCTGTAGACATTTACTTCAGGTCACCACCACAATTAAAAAATACCGAAGCAGACCTTAATGCAACCGCTGCCACCGAAAAGTAGAGATAACATTCGCAATGGGCAGCCTCCGTCAGATAGGGCAGCAGAATACTGGAGCAGATAAGCGTACGCCGCTTCGTTAATGGGACAAACTGTTTCCCAAAATTCAACCCTACGGAAGGAGAGTTAGCCTACTGAAAGCAATGCAGGACCCTCAAAAAGGTTCGCGTGGGGTGAATGGGCGCAGAAAGCTTCTCAGTTCATTTTACTCGATAAAATGACAAACATTACACGAGGTGTATTAGGCAGTACTCCCCCTCCATGGTCAAGTTTTGCCACAGTCTGAGTTATGGGGCCTTGCGATGCCCCCCAAGAATGGTAGTTTCTTACGACTGATTGACTAGTCCAAGTTCTGACTGTTGTTAAGAAAGGAAAAGGCTCTCACCCACGTTTGAGTGAGTTGGATAAGCTGTAGGCTGAATCAGATGGACATCAGGTGGGAACAATTGAATCTACGGTTCAGGGCCCACACCTACACAAAAGAGGCGCCATCATCTTGGAGATAAATAGGTCATTCAGCCAATAACCTTCAAGCGCAGAGATCTATTGTTTAGCCTTCACTCCGACATTGTCAATTGGTGTGGAGGCCGACACGTCGCCCCCGTCTCCTCCCTAAATCTCAACATTAATTACGTGTGCCTCTCTCCAATCATGCTAATTGTCAGTTCTCAAGTAGGATGGCGAGTCTCTCCCCCCCCCCCTGAAAGTGATACATCCACTCTCGAGTGATTCATCACCAGAATCAAATTTTTAGAACCCCTTCTGGACAGTGCATTTTGCTAACCCTTGCTACACCTCCTCCAAATGCTAGTCAACACCAAATTTGATGAGAGTCCACTTAAAGTCGGGCCACGATGCGCACCAGTCCAAAGCTCGGACGGCAGCTTCAATTGCATTTTCCATGTCCGTGCAAAGTCACAAGTCGCTCCAGTGGACCATGTTAAAAAAGGAGTAATTTTACCAGTTCCCCTGATAATAACAGACAAAAGTTGAACACGAATGAATCATCCAGGCTAAAATTACTACTTATCCCACTACTTTTATTACCTAATGCTTGATGAAGTCAGCCAATTTTATAGTTAGATCTTGTTATCTGATAATGGAGAATACTGGTGAAGCGGTTACACCATCGGTTAAATCTGTCCGACTTGGCTGAAACGCGTGCCCTTGTTTATATACCGTGTTAAGCGGTCGGGGTGATTCACGAATGGGAAGTAGAACACGGCACCAACGAGAACCTGACCACAATAAAGCCATCGCAATTTGTAAAATTTGTAATGAATCTACTGAGTTGTCCTCTAATAAATGGTGTGCAAAATAAATGATAAAAACAGACAATAGCACGCTTTCCTGTCAGCTAAGGAATGGGGGAGGAAGGTTTTGCGAGACACTTCTAATGCCAGTACTATCTCGCAAATGAGGCACGTTAATTAAGTGGTATCCATAGCTGGATAAACACCATCAACAGGATTGGCGCCTAAACAAAATCCCTAACCTTAGTCATGCCAAAAGGCGTGACAAGTTTTGCGATAAATTGTGTCCCTCATATAACCCAGCACGTAACTCAGACGTTACTACTGGATTTGAAGGAAGACAAATTAAGTAGCATCGATAAACCAGGCGATCGAAAGTGCGCAGGGAGCTCGGACGGTGTCCTCGTCGGTAATACCCTTAAAAAGAGTCACAACCCACGATACAACATTCTAAATAAGTCAGTAAATCATGCGACAAATCGCCCAAGACATACTACTGATAACGCGACTGAATAAGTAAGTAGCGAGGTAAGCCATTGAGAACCTAGGCATGCAGCACTTTCAGTATTCCCTTGCGCACAAACCACAGGAAGAAAAAAACATTTTCGACTAGCCCTGCCCGAGGTGAAAAGCAGCCTACCGAGAGCTGGAAGAAGACAGCGCCAAAGATGATGAGGAGGCCGCGCCAAGAGAAGGCGCGCACACCACTGGGAACACAAAGTGCCATGAGGCAAGTACCCACTCCAGAACCGCAAATCGCCAGGCCCACCGCTAGTGCCCGTCGGGACTCGAACCACTGCGCCACAATGGAAAGCGAGGGAAAGTAGAGGAGGCCGCAGCTCAGACCTGTAGTGGAAAGGAAAACAATTTCCACGTTGATTAGCCGATTAGGAAGCGGATCTATCACAACTCTTCTCACCACTCATTCGGCAGATAAGTGATCTTGAATTGTATGGAGTTCAAGTGTCAAGTAAGTTAGAAATGATTGTAAGAATGTGAAGGAAATAAATAAGGAATATGGATCAAAGCTTAGTTCTTTCCACAAGCTTTCCTATTGGTCGGTTAGTGGCAGCCCGAACACCACTGTTGTGGCCACTAATTTGACCATTTAACCATCAATCAGTAACGCAGAGGCTTAAATGCACAAATTACACGAATGGGTGCACAAATAGGAAGTAATTATAAGCATGAAATGTTATTAAATCACGGTGTCAGCTACCAAGCCCTGTGTTTGGTTGCCTGTGCGATAGTTCTAGTACACCTAATAAGACCGTTAAATCTTCACGAACGTCATCCACCAAGCAAAGTACGAGTTGTAATTGCTAAAATCATAGAAATTAGGTTGTAATTGTAAAAAAAATTGATTTTCAGAAATGAGATTACTGCGAGCACCCTAAGTGGTCAGTTGAGGAGGATTCTAAAATCCGTATTTTTGCTGTTGATTAAATAACCAAGAAGTCTCAAATCTGATTGAACAAGTTCAGTTACTAGGTTTTAACGCAAACAATTCGGGTAAATAAACCATAGGATGAGCAGACAACAGACAGGAAGTAATTAAGCCTGACCTACTGGTTAGTTTGGGGCACTTTCAACACCCCTGTTCCTCTGAATGACTTGGTTGTTAAACTACCGGAAGGAGGACTAGTTTTAATCGCCCAGGTATAGTACAAGTAAATAAATACTCAACAGCAGTGCATAAATGAGAAGCATTTAAGAATCCATTGTAATTTAAAGTCTGTCATCTATTGTCAACTCTACGATCGGTTGATGAATACAGACGACCGTCAATACAGCTAATCTAGTCCGTAAATCATACCCAATTCGATCAGCATCAACTACTCCGGTGCAGAAGAACCCCGACTGTGTCGTAATCGGACCAGGCCAATCTACCGCACTCTGATCTAGACACCATTCATCAAGACGACAACAGGCAACAGCAGCAGCAGTTATGCCTGTGCAACAGCGAGTGATGGATGAAGGCTCTTGTCAACGAGAAACTCGTGTAAAACCCACAAATATTTACATCTAGCCATACCACGGCACAGTGACGGGACGTTCAGCCGTACGTCTTTACGTTGCTAGTAAAGCAGATCCTAATGTTTCTTAGCCCAAGGCCATTCTTTCCATGGAAGCGGTGTACATAACCACGCAAAAACACTTGTGACTAGCACACGATGGATGCCATGGCCAGTAGAGTGAGCCAGACGCACTGGCCTCGGATGCCCCAGTAGTGCTTACAACTCCTTCTATCTCGAAATCGCATTCTACATACTTCCACCTTTGAGTTCAACAGGGGGCCTCGAAACTAAGGAATTATGACCATTCTGTGTGAAGATGTACAAATGAACAGGAAATCACACGCACGCGCAATAAATCTGGAGGCAGCAAACACGCCGCAGAGAATGTAACAACAATTTGATACTCTAACATTTTCGCGTTGCACCGCTAATGGACCACAAAATTTTCTTAAGAAGAGCGAAAAAGCGCAAAATATCTACGAAGTGAAAGCACAGCAACAACAACCAAGAGCGAAAAAAAACCTACAAATACAGCCGATCCGATCGGGAAACAGAGGTACCTCCTAGGACCTCTCCATCACCTCACAGCCGCCGCGGCCTTCCAGAGGCTCAAAGCAAACATCCAGGAGCACTCTTTGGAAGGTGGATCTGAGGAACCACCCCTCAAAAGGGGATGCAATACCGCCAAACTGTAATACTTGCAGTGTTTTGACCAGACATGAGGAGATGGTCCTCTACGCAGGCATAAACGCGGAGGGAGTAAAGTAGATGCTCAACCCTCAAGTAAATGTTTTACGCACCCTACGACAATCGACTGGTAGAGGACGTAGTCGAATAAACCATGTACTTAAGTTGTCAGGAAAATCTTTGCCTCTTCTAAGAGGGACATAGTCTGATCCGATGGCCATCCAAACAGAATAATACATAATAGCAAAACAAACCGTTCATCCATCACCAGAATGGGTAATCACGAGTCAATTTCAACTTGATTCAGCCGTGGTGGAAGCCAATGCATTAGTCAAAAATGCCAATCAGTTTCAAAGACCACCAGGATGTCATTTACGACAGCGTCTTTAGATTAGCCGTTGAGTAAGTGGCTGACTGATCGACCGAGTGCTCGGTAAGCGAACGAACAGATCGTTGGCCATCCTCAAAACGGCCACCAATCACCTCACATCTCTAACGCATCACCTCGTATCCAGGACAGACTGCGCTTTGTTCACTACACATTGTCCGCCTCCTGAAGGAGAAGCAACGAGATTGCCCGTGGACAAAGGAACTTTTTCTTCTTCTTCAGAAGTAGTCGGAACTTATAAGATAATGCGAGATTAACTTGTAAGAAGATTTTAGTTTCAGCCGCGATAGGATTGGCTAGGATCGGGGAGGGAGAGATAACGCCTCATCCTTACAACCCCCCTCACCACTTTTTAACTCCAGACAGTCACATGCGGAACAGACGGTTAGGAAATAAATCTAGCAATAAAAAAAGCCAAAAGCTTATTCGGTTACCTCCGATATCCAACTTCTACTCTCCTATTTCTTATCTCCAAGGCAGAGTGGCTCTTTCTTCCTTTGCAAAAGAAGTGGCGGAAAAGCCGCGATAAACGTCATCTAGACGCTCAAAAACACCATCCATCAAGAGCGACAACAGCGTGTGTGCGGCACAGGTAGCGCTGTGGATGAGGAAGGAGGACTTCAAGCGCTAGAAAAATGTCTCTTCCTGGAAAACCTCTTGTGTTAACAAAATTCCACCAAAGACGAGTCCTTATGGGAATACGGTGAAGCCAACCAGTTATGAACAGTGACAATTCCGAAAAACTAATGCACACTGGGGATCAAAATCAGTCAACCGAAACGGACACTCTCCTAGCATTCTCGGTGCTGGTTAAAAGCCGAGAGAAGTAGCAGCAGAGAGCTGCGTGTAGAAGGGGATGCAGCTCGCGAACCGTGCGGAATGTGCTCATCCCCTAGCTTAACCACCCCTCGTAAACTCCACCTCAGTTCCGCGGCTAAACTTTTGAGGACAAAAAAGTTAACTGTTAAAATTTTGCGTTAACTAAACGAACGAGACACGTCAAGCATCAATCAAGTTGGAAAGAGTCGTAACTTTGTTTTATTTCAATGCACTCGCAACCTTCGCCTACTTTACGCAACCACCTGTCCAATAAATACCCACCCATCCATCTAACCTGTCTGACTGCACTGTAAACGCCGACGGTAGGCGAGACAATGAACCTGCATGTGGGCACCATTGGTTTTATGGCCATACATGCGTAGTAGGGCTTTACGATCAGTCGGCAGTCATTTTACGCTTTTATCAACAAAAATGTGGGGTTTTAAAATGCAGCTTTTTATCTTGATTAAACAAGAACAACCATGGGGAACACATGGTCCTGTTTAGGCGCTCTAGGAGTTTACCTTTTTCCTAACCAACTGCCAAACACCGCACTCCTATTTACACATCTCTTGATTGGCCAATGACAAGGTCAAGACCTTTCAAGGCACCACCCTGT